TACGCAGGCCCCCGGGTTCCTCTGCTCGTCCCGGGATTCGTTACGAACTTTCAGAGTCTAAAGAAGAGGCTTATTGGGCATCGCCTGTAGCGAGGGAAGTCGGGGAGGGAGGTGTTTCCTGCATGCCTTTGGTCCCTGAATTTTGCGACTCCTCAGTATACTACCAGCTAAAAACAAAGAACAGCTCCACGTTAAGCCCGGTACCGCCCGCAGGAATACGAAGTTGTGATCTGAAATTTAAAATGGGGTGTCCTCCGTGCTGCCCCAAGCGAGGTCTAGTGGAATTGAAGGGTTCGTCGTAGTCCGGGTCCCCAGAGTTCTCCGAGATCCAGGGGCTTCCCAGACGCAGCCACTATGAACAGATGGTGTTGGGGGAGGAGATGGGAAGCTGCTCAAACACCAGACTTTTAAACCTTTAACGCGGTAACTTTGAACAGTGTGAGGGCTTTGGGCAGGTGAGAAGCGGGCACTCGCTGCCTTAGCCACTGTCCCTCTGGGTAGAGATGCAGTTTTTTTAAAAAGGATCCTGGGAACAGTTTGCAAGGCTCCAGTTGGTACCAAGGGTCCGGAAGGTTCTTCTTGCGGTTGGTTGGCCGGGGTTTCTCAGGTGAGACTGCTGAAGGGCATTGTGCTGCCTCCCTCCGCCCCTGGGGGGAGGCTGGACCAAGGAGCACGGAGCCACATCTCAGGCTTCGGTGAAGGCCGGGCCACCGCAGGTGGGAGGTGAGGGCTCAGGTCCAGAGAGTCAGCGTCTGGCGGCTCTGAAGGGACTGTGCGGCCAGTGGAGGTGTTGGCCTGGATCCTTCCAGAAGCTGCATGGTCAGATGTGGAGTCTGGGACTGATGGGAGGAGGGAGGAGCTGAACTGGAGCAGGGGAGGCCTCTGGGAAGCCATCCCGTGTTTGTGGCAGCGGGGAAGCCCCGAGGTAAAGCAGTGACCCTGGCCAACTGAGGGAGGAGGGCAAGAAGGGGCTGAGGGAAGTGATGGCCCTTTGGGGAGCACCCACATCTGAGGGGAAGCCAGAAAGGAGCAGGGAGCACTGGTGGTGCAGCATTCAGGGGGAGGAGGCAGCTGGGGGCGGGAAGACTTAGGGAAGAAGAGAGTGGTTGTCTGGGGTCCCTGCAGAGGGGAAATACAGGACTGGCTCCCACAGTCTGGGCACCATGGGGACTGCCAGGCGGAACTGGGATGAGCGGCGCAGAAGCTGTGCCCCTGGTGTGGGTGGAAGGGAGGGAGGGAGGGGGCTTGGAACCAGCGAGGCCATATTTCGTCTAGGCACAGCCCTGGATTTTCTTCCCCAGGTTCAAAACCAGCAGTGAAGCCAGCGAAGCCGGAGGCCCTCGGTTACCTGGGGCGGGGGGCGCTCTCTGTGATGCCCGCGAGGGGCAAGTGCTGGGATGCAGGGACTGAGCTGCGGGTGCCTTGAAGAGGCTGGGGGCCCCTCCTAGGCTCCCTCAAGTCCAGCCTGTGCCCTGGGGACACCCTCAAGGAGCCCACTATCGGTGGGAGGTGCTCTGCCTGCCCCCCACCCCGTGGGGCCTGTTCTACCTTTGTCATTGCTGGTGGTCTCCATAGTGATGGTGGTCTCGGTGCCTGGGACTGGAGGAATTGAGGCAGAGGCCAGACCGACTACACAGACTGGTGGCCCTTGCCTGTCCTCTGCCCTGCAGTGAAAATTCTTCCTGCTGAGAATTACTCCTGCTCAGGGGCGCTGGTCCCTGCAATTCCTGCTGGGGTGCTGGGGGTCATTAAATCTGCTCCCAGGGACAGTGGCAGCCTGTGGAGCCGGGTTTGAGCTGTTGCATTGGCTCCGGACTCAGTGGGGGCCACACTGAGATTGTTTAGAAAATCCAGGTCTTCCGTGACAAAGGCTTCTGTGCTTGGGCTTGAGCCAGTGCAGAAGGTGGTGGGAGGGGACACTGCAGGTGATGACAAGTGGCCCTGCCAGAGGCAGGGAGAGACGGCCCACTAAAGCCCCCATGGCTGCATGCATCCATGTCTGACATGAGAACTAGAGTGTGTGTGACTGGTGCAGGATTCTAAATCCAGGAAGGGTGCCCCCACCTGGAGAGAAGGTGGGGCTGCCCTCCTGTCAGGTTGTGCTGCCCAGATGGCTGCAAAGCGGCCACTTGTTCTGGTGTTGGATGTGAAACTGCCCGCCCTGCCCTGTGCCCTTGCACGGCCCTGTGGCAAGTCGGCCTCCCCTTTCCAGGGTGAGGGGTGAGTGACTGGCTCCGTGACCTGGGTGGCCACGCCCTCTGAGCTCCCCTGCCCTTGGAGCAGAGTAGGTCAGCGAAGAACGCAGTGCAGGGTGTGTGGGAGGGCATCAGCCCAGGGTCCCCGATCCCTGCCTTCCTGTCTGTGTCACTAAAGCATCGGCCCTGCTCTTGCTCCGTCCATTAGTGGTGGCTGTGGCTGTTTTGGGCTGTGTTGGCGGAGTTAAATAGTGATGACAGAGGCAGTTTGGCCCGCAAAGCCTAAATAAATTATTTACCATGTGGCCCTGGATGGGAAGGTTTGCAGGCCTGGGAGGAGACACCCCCACACGGGGTGCCAGAGCTGGTACGCACACTGTCACGGGTTCCTTCCAGAGCCGGGTGATGGTCATTCCGCCCCGCCTGCCACTGGATGATCTTTGATATGTTTACGGCAAGTTTTTGCCTGGCCTGTGTGGCTCAGTGGTTGGGCATCCACCCATGAACTAAGAGGTCACTGGTTGATTCCCGGTCAGGGCACATGCCCAGGTTGCAGGCTCGATCCCTAGCAGGGGGTGTACAGGAGGCAGCCGATCAATGATGTTTCTCTCTCGTCGATGTTTCTATCTATCCTCTCTAAAAAATCAATAATAATGATGATAATGGTAATAAAAGACCTGCTTTTCCTCCTGCGAGGCTGCTTTGGCCGTGGCTCAGTGTTAGGCTGCGGGGAGAAAGGGAGGCCTGCCCTGTCCTCCCTGTTGGCACTTTCGTTTTCCATATCTAATCCCCTTTATAAAAACAACGAGATATAGTAGAATTAGACACAGGCTGCAGCAAGACAGAGGTGATGGCTGGAGAGCCTTGTCCTTGGGACGCCCTGCACTGCTCCCAGGTGGCCTTGAGGCATCGCCATGAGCGCCATCCCCATTCCGGGCCAGTGTGGGCTGCTTGAGGTTGTTCCTTGAAACCCTGATCCCAACAGATCTTCCCCCCAATAAAGGGGGTTCTGTTATTTGAGAACCCTCAGGCTTTTCCTGTCTGTAGCTGGGATAGGGGCAGAAGACCCAGGAATTCCCAGATGGGGGTGGGGGTGGGGGTGGGGGCCCTCCCAGCAGCCATCCCCGGGAGGTTCCTCTCGCTCTGGCTGTCCCATGGCAGCAGCTGTGTCACCCCCTCACCTTGGCAAGCCCCCCTCTCTGCATGCCAGTTAGCAAACACTGCCCTCCCTGTTCTAAATCATCCCCTGGAGCAGGGGTTCTCAACCTGTGGGTCGCGACCCCTTTGGCGGTCGAACAACCCTTCCACAGGGGTCGCCTAAGACCATCCTGCATATCAGATATTTACATGACGATTCATAACAGTAGCAACATGACGGTTATGAAGTAGCAACGAAAATAATTTTATGGTTGGGTCACAACATGAGGAACTGTATTTAAAGGGCCAGAAGGTTGAGAACCACTGCCCTGGAGTGACCTTGCTCCTCCCTTCTTTGGAGTCTCTCCCCGGTAGCCCATGAGCTCCCCTGTTCTGTGCAGCCCAGAATTGTACTGGCATGAAGCGGCTGCTCAGGGCATTTGAATGAACGGCAGAAATGTGGGATGTGATTGGAGGAGAAAGCTGGGTAGTTGGGGGGCAGCTGCCTTCCTCGGGGACACATCCGCCTGAGCTGTTGGTCTGCCGTGGCCGCCGTTGGTCCCAGGGCGGGCTCTCCTCTCACAGAACTCTGCAGATGGTCCACCTGGCTTATTGCCACCTACACCTCACCCCAGATTCATTCCGCACATGTTTGTTTGTTCTACAACTATTTGAAGACCTGGTCCCTTGCCAGGCACTGTATTAGGAACTTGGACTTAGCAGTGAACAAACTAGCCTTCTAGAAAGCTGTACCAAGTCCTCCTCTTCCCCAGCGTAGCCTCTGAGGTGTGGGTATAGGGAATGTGAACATGCCCATTGCTCTTCCCGGAGACCGGCCGTTGACTTCTTTATCCACCTGCTGTGGCCGGGCACCTGCCGAGTGCCGCTCGGACCCTCTGTGAGCGTGCAGGTCTAGGAGGAGTGGCCACAGCGGTGTCTCTTGGGACCCACCCTGCATGAGGAATGGTGATTGACAGTTGCTGCAGGCAGACTAGCAAGCTGCTTTGGGTGGTCTCCACTCTAAAATTGAGGCCCTGGGGCCCTAGACAGTTTTGTTCAGTGGTTAGAGCATTGGCCTGCGGAATGAAGGGTCTGGGGTTCAATTCTGGTCAAAGGCACATGCCCGGGTTTCAGGCTCGATCCTTAGTTGGGGGCATGCAGGAGGCAGCCAATCAATGATTCTCTCTCATCATTGATGTTTCTATCTCTCTCTCCCTCGCCCATTCTCTCTGAAATCAATAAAAATATATTTTTAAAAAACTCATTTGACAAACATGACGTTCTCACTGGAAGACATCTTACTCATATTCTCTTGTTCTGCTTTTCCTTCCTTTTTGATGCTCTTCTGTTGGTTCCATTTCCTATTCTTGCTCCCTAGGGAGGGAACCCAAAGCTCAATCCTTGCCCACAACTAAATTAGGTTTCCTACTTCCTCCCTTATAAATCTCACCTACCTTATAAATCAAACACTGCCTCAAAGATGACTCCCAAATCTACCTCTCCTAATTTTTTTCTCCAACCTCAATCCTGGATCTTAAACTTCCTGCTATACTTAGCAACCAGAGTAACACACCATCCAGTGTCAGACCGCCTGGGTTCAAACCCCAGCTTTGGTCACTTACTAAAAATGTGACCATGGGCAAATTATTGAATATCTCTTGCTTCAGTTGCTTCATGTGAAAAACGAGGGTGATGACAACAGTATCTACATTATCCTATATAATAAAGAGGTAATATGCAAATTGACCCTCACTCCGTCACAAAGATGGGTAGCAACGAAAATAATTTTATGGTTGGGTCACAACATGAGGAACTGTATTTAAAGGGCCAGAAGGTTGAGAACCACTGCCCTGGAGTGACCTTGCTCCTCCCTTCTTTGGAGTCTCTCCCCGGTAGCCCATGAGCTCCCCTGTTCTGTGCAGCCCAGAATTGTACTGGCGTGAAGCGGCTGCTCAGGGCATTTGAATGAACGGCAGAAATGTGGGATGTGATTGGAGGAGAAAGCTGGGTAGTTGGGGGGCAGCTGCCTTCCTCGGGGACACATCCGCCTGAGCTGTTGGTCTGCCGTGGCCCCCGTTGGTCCCAGGGCGGGCTCTCCTCTCACAGAACTCTGCAGATGGTCCACCTGGCTTATTGCCACCTACACCTCACCCCAGATTCATTCCGCACATGTTTGTTTGTTCTACAACTATTTGAAGACCTGGTCCCTTGCCAGGCACTGTATTAGGAACTTGGACTTAGCAGTGAACAAACTAGCCTTCTAGAAAGCTGTACCAAGTCCTCCTCTTCCCCAGCGTAGCCTCTGAGGTGTGGGTATAGGGAATGTGAACATGCCCATTGCTCTTCCCGGAGACCGGCCGTTGACTTCTTTATCCACCTGCTGTGGCCGGGCACCTGCCGAGTGCCGCTCGGACCCTCTGTGAGCATGCAGGGCTAGGAGGAGTGGCCACAGCGGTGTCTCTTGGGACCCACCCTGTATGAGGAATGGTGATTGACAGTTGCTGCAGGCAGACTAGCAAGCTGCTTTGGGTGGTCTCTACTCTAAAATTGAGGCCCTGGGGCCCTAGACAGTTTTGTTCAGTGGTTAGAGCATTGGCCTGCGGAATGAAGGGTCATAGGTTTAAATCTGGTTAAGGGCACATACTTTGGTTGCAGGCTGGATCCCCGGCCCTGATTGGGGTGTGTGTGGGAGGCAACCAATTGATGTGTCTCAGCCCTGATTGGGGTGTGTGCGGGAGGCAACCAATTGATGTCTCACATTGATGTTTTTCTCTCTTTCCCCTCTCTTCCACTCTCTCTAAAAGTCAATGGAAAGAAATATCCTTGAGTGAAGATTAACAAAAATCCTTCCTATATAATAAAAGCCTAATATGCTAAGTGCCCGGTTGACCAGTCGGCCGTTCAACCAAAGCATAATATGCTAATGATATGCTAAGGCCACTCAACCGCTCGCTATGACATGCACTGACCACCAGGGGGCAGACACTCCAACCGGTAGGTTAGCTTGCTGCTGGGGGCCGACATGCCCTGGAGCCCTCCCGCAGTCCCTTCTTGGCTGGCCAACCTCCCGCATCTCTCCCCGGCCCTGATCGTACACCGTTGGGGTCCCTTGGTCTGGCCTGCACCCTCTTGCAATCTGGGACCCCTTGGGGGATGTTGGAGAGCTGGTTTCAACCAGATCCCACAGGGGGAGCTCTGCTCAGTCAGAAGCCAGGCTCACGGTGGTGAGCACAGCTGTGGTGGTAGGAGCCTCTCCTGCCTCTGTGGCAGTTGGACACCCCCCCACCCCCAGGGCTCCTGGACTGCTAGAGGGCACAGGCCGGGCTGAGGGACGCTCCCCACTCCCAGTGCACGAATTTCGTGCACCGGGCCTCTAGTAAGTAAGTAAATAAATAAATAAGTGAATAAATAAATTAAATTAAATAAGATGGAGGCCCTAGGAGAGTGTCCAGGCTTTGTGGTTGGAGTGAAGGGGCCAGGGAAGCAGGGTGTCCTGCTGGGGACAGGGGAGACTGCTGGCCCGAGACAACTTCTTCCCTTTGCCTTTCAGCTGCTCCATTTCACCAGGAGGCTTCTAGGACAACGGCTGTTCGACAGGCTGATGAAGATGACTTTTTACGGACAGTTTGTGGCCGGTGAGGACCAGGAGTCCATCCAGCCCCTAATCCGGCATAACAGGGCCTTTGGCGTGGGCTCCATCCTGGACTACGGAGTGGAGGAGGACCTGAGCCAAGAGGAGGCGGAGCGCCAGGAGATGGAGTAAGGCCTGCGGGGCATCTGGTGGTAACCCCAAAGCGCCCCAGGGCAGCCAGGGGCTGGGTCAAGGCCCAGGCTGGGAGGAGGCCAGGGCTAGGAGAGCTTGGTCAGCCCGGTTCCCGGAACCTCAGTCTGGGGTTCTTGCGTTTTTGCCTCGTGAGGATTACAGCCCTGGGCTTTCGTGGGATGTTCTGTGTGCATGAGGCCGGAGGAACATCGAGACTAGGGGTCAGCACACTATGACCACAGCCGATCCCACCCACTGCCTGGTTTTGTACAGTCTGCAAGCTGAGGATGGTTTTTTGCACTTTTAAATGGTTGAAGCAAATCAGAGCAAGAATAGTATTTTGTGACGTGTGAAAATTATATGAAATTCAAATCGCTTTCGCCCTGCGAGGGCAGAGTTGAAGAGCTGTGGCACACACGCTGAGTGGCTCTCAGGCTGAGAATAGGGCTGCCCAATTGGTTGCCTGCCCTGGTGTGGAGCCTTCCTGCTCTGCCCAAGCATCTCTCCTGGGAGGACCCCACCCTTTCCTGGCCCCTGAGGTGGTTTTCTGATATGCAGGTGGGCTCTGCCTGGTGGGCTCGGAGCCTGCCCAGGCATCAGTGGGGAAGGGATTGTGCAGCCACGAATGGTTGACAAGCTGCCTGGGTTCCTCCTGAGGCCACCAACTTGCTGCAAGGTTTGTTCTCTGGGCAGTGAGTGTGGAAACATGGGCATGTCCCTGAGCCACCCTGCTGAGTCAGAATTAGGTCACCCTCCGCTTCCTGGAGCAGTGTCCTTAGGGGAAGTACAGACAAGACCTGCCCTTTCTTTGCAAAATGCCCGGTTTCCGTGCTGATGCCTGCACCTGTCCGGACAGGGCCCTCATTTGCATCTGGAGTCCCAAGTGCTGAAAGCAATTGTGCCCGACTGACCCGAGGCTTGGGCCAGGCCTGCTGAGTAACCTGGGTCAGTCTAGGGCCAGGCTTGCTGAATAACCTGCCCGTGTCAGGCTGTGGTGTTTACCCTG